CCGGGCCTGGGTGGTTGTACAAACCATTAGTAGTTAATAAACCTTTCTTGTCTTGCTAAAACTTTATTCATTCTTTTCTATTATTTTGGCAACTACCTTAAACCATCATTGTGCCACTCTAACACAAAGTCTAATCATAGCTCCAAGAAGAGGTCTTGGGATTAATCTTAAAAAGCAAGCTGAGACCAGATAATAAAGTGTCACATAAAAGGTCATGTTAAAGTGTCTTTATACAGGCAGTCCTCTGATGTGCAGAAATTTCATTCACCATTATTTTAAGTAACACTAGTTTCCCACAACATACTTCAAATTCCAATGACCACAGTATCAAAAAGCTGCATAAAGTACACATTTTTATTAACTCTTCAGTCCACAAATTATTATATAAATAACAGACATGTATCAGGATCAGTTACCAATCACATCACTTCTGTCAGTGACTGGTCAGTCACTCACTGCATACCCGTTGTCATTCAGTTCATGGACAGCAAAGCATGGAGTTGTGTTACTTCCTTGTCCTCCAGTAAAAAAGCCACATGACATTTCACAAAAATGGATAATTTAAACAAGAAATTGGTCCACAAACAAGAAAGTACAACAAAGGAATGAACAATGATAATACTAGAAGTGAAATTCAAATCAAATGTAAGTGAGTTAAGAAGAAATTGCTAACTGTGGGAATAATGCCAATGCTGCTGTTTGTGAGACTCTAGATATGCAGCCAGAAGTAGTTCCCTTAGTGAAGGGAACTTATCAACATCAATGAGGAAAATGGTTGTGACAAAAAGGATAAAGATGTCCCAGAGGAAGTGACACCAGCCAAAATTTTCACATTAAAGGAATTCTTGGAGATTTCATAACGTTAAACACTGAGCCAAACTTAGAAGATGGAAATTCACCTAGGTACAGAAAATATACTCCATATCCTACACTGTATGATGAGAAGATTTAGATCACTTTGTAGTTTCTACTTACATTGTTACAGCTCCATACTATACACAAAACGGGGACTGCCTTGCACTATCTTACAAGAAAGTAAGGTAAGTGCACCGTAGAGATCTAATAATTTGTATACTCAATGGAACTACTTCTGCAAAATGTCCTTTCTTCCTACCCACCGCGAAGTTCAGATGGGAACAGGAGCTGTACCTCCTTATTGATTCTATCTCCTTCACTCAAAATTGCGTTAAGAATGAACATAAAACCCCAAAGGAACCAATCACAGCATCCTCAAGACAAAGGGTGACTGTTCGCTTGTCTTGAGCTGCAGAAGGAACCACCTGCAGACGACAAACCTGTGAATAATTACGGAGGAAAATGCTCAACTACCTACTACGTCTCTGTCATCTATTGTAGCAAAATGAGAGAAATCTACAAGTTTCTTTCAGGGGCAGAACCTTCAATTTCAAATGCTAACAGAATTTAACAAATTTATCCTTTCAGAATATTCCAGCTTTTCCTACCGGGGGTGAAGGGAGAAGGAAAGAGAAAACAACAAGCTCGTGCTGGAGTGAGAATTTGCCTAAAATTGCGGTTGCGACCGGACCTTAACCCAACCCTCCCCGTCAGCTGACTGGACTGCCCGCTCGGCCTGGGATTGAGCCCGACGCTCGGACTTCACTGTTTCGGAAAACAGCCGCCAAGAACCCTTTTTGAGAAGTGGTGAACAGAAGGTAAGCATCGGCGCGGGCCTCCTCTGAGACGGAGCCTCGGGAAAGCGACACTTCCCCTCCCACCGACCGCTTCCCCCGGCGGCGGCTCTTCCCCACCTCGCCGGGGCGCTGTTCCCCTTGAAGCCCCCTGGCCTCCACCTCAGGCTCCTCCACACTGAGGACCCCAGTCCTTCCAGGCTCCTCCCCTCCAGGGAGCCCTCCTCCTAGCCTAGAGGCTCCGTGACCTCCCCCAGGCATTCTTCCCCCCCCCCCCGGGAAGGGCCCCCCCCCCCGGTCTCTCTTCCCCTGCAGGCCCCCTCCCCGACCGCCCAGGCCGCCCCAACCCCAAATTCGCGTCCGTGCAGCCCGGGAGGGACCTCCACACAGCTTCGGAAACGCAGCCGCCGCCCCGCCCAGCGGCCTCACCTGTGGAGAAGCAGGGAGGCGGCGCTGAGGCCAAGCAGCAGGAAGCAGAACAGCGGATACTGGCGGCAGAGCTCGCGCCCCGCGTCCAGCCGCAGCCGCTGCCTCATCCTCTCGCCCACCGCCCGCGCCCGGGGTAGCATCTCCGTCCGCGCGGCGAGGACCCGGGGCGACCCCACCGACTTCTCAAGTCCGCGCCCCACTGGCCCCACCGCGCGTGCGCAGCCCCGCCCCGGCCGGAAGGAAGCCTGCAGCCGCCCCCAGCTCCACCACCGGCGAGAGCGGCTCGCAGTCCACGCTGCAGCTCTAGATTTTTCCGGAATTCGGAGGACGGCCTCGTCCCCTGGCAGCCGCCTGCATCGTGGAAGACAAGAAGGCAGTGCCCGAGCGCAGCCGGAGCCTTAGAATACACGGAGCCTGCGGAGGGCGGCCTGCATCAACCTCTCCGCGCTCTGAGTGGTGGGCCCGGCCTCTCCGTGACGCGCGCAGGGCCCTCGTTTTCCTGGGGCGGTCCGGGGAGTTCAATCCCGCGAGGCGGAGGTCGGGTCACGGCTCCCCGAAGCCTGACCAAGTGCAGGGATTTGGATGAGGCACCTTGGTTTAAGACTCTTGTATGATTTCTTGCGCTTCCCCTTTACTAATTCTTCGCATTTCTAAATTTTATTCTTTATTTTATTGGGACACTGTCTCACTTTGTCACCCTCGGTAGAGTGGCGTGGCCATCACAGGAACCTCAGACTTTTGTGTTCAAGCGATTCTCTTGCTTCAGCCTCCCAAGTAGCTGGGGCTACAGGCGCCCGCCACAATGCCTGGCTAGTTTATTTTTTTTGTATAGCAGGCTCGGGTCGAGTTTGAACCCACCAGCTCTGGAACATGTGGCCAGCGCCCTAACAATTGAGCCACAAATTTTAATTTCTATATTCTCTGCCACTCTTAGAGATGCAGGAAGACGTAATAAAGTTGCAGGCAGCGCGGTAGCACTTGGATTTAACCTTCACACGTTCACCAGTACTCTAGTTCCAACCGTTTCATGCCTGGTTTGCCAAAACAGAACTTAAATCAGCATCATGTAGCTAACGAAGCCCGATTCTACATGGTCTTAACTCCAGAGCTGCGCTCACGCGGCCAAGTCTCTCCCTACGCGCTTACCCTCTAAAGTGGGGACACAGACTAGATTCAAATGGTGTATGGACATTTTCCCATGCTGTCCTGAAATCACGTATCATCTTTAATGATTCCTATCTTCCTTTATCAGAATGCACCATCCTTTATTCCACTTTTAGGTACGGAGTCTGGGGTCTCGCTCTCGCCCAGGCTGGAGTGCAGTGGCGTGATTCATAGCTATCTGCAGCCTCAAACTTCTGGGCTTGGCGATGCTCTGGCCTCTCCCTCTAGAGTAGCTGGGACTACCTGCACAACCTGCCCAGCTAATTTTCTAATTTTTTGTAAAGTCTTGGCTGGGCGTAGTGGCTCACGCTTGTAATCCTAGGCTGAGGCGGGTGGATTGCCCTGAGCTCAAAGGTTCGAGACCAGCATGAGCCAGAGTTAGACCCCTCGTCTCTTCCAAAAATTGTTGGGTGTTCTGCCAGGCGCCTTTAATTCCAGCTACTTGGGAGGCTGAGGCTAGAGAATCACTTAAACCCAAGGACCCAAGGTTTGGTGGAGGTTGCTGTGAGCTATGATTCAACAGTACTCTACTGAGGGCCACAAAGTGAGACTCTGTCTCCATTAAAAAAAAAAAAAAAGAAGAAGAAGAAGAAGAAATAAAAGAAAATGAAAGAGGTCTTGCTGTATCGCCCAGGCTGGTCTCAAACCCCTGGCCTATCGGGATCCTCCTCCCTTAGCCTTGATACATACTGACAAATTTATTGAATCGTTGTACCAGTGCTACATTGGTATGTGAAAGTGAACATTTCACAGATCCTCACCGTTATTACTGTTTAACATTACAAATACACTCACACTGTTCTGTTTGTGATTAAACCACTTAAAATACTAAGTGCAAAAATCATTGGAAAGCTTAGCACTTTAGAAAAATGTTTTGAGGTACTTATTAAATAGTTCTTTCACTTTTGCATTAAACATCTTTGAGTTATCTATTAGCATGCTAAGGCTATACCGAAGTATAGAAGGTGTATATTGAATTGATCTACATGTATCAAGTGCCTACCTTGGACTTGAGTGCTTTATGCTTTCCTAAGTTACTTTATTAACTTTGGGTGGTAAGTTATGTTGCCTCTTTTATTCTGTTTAAAACTTGCTTCTTTAAAGGCTTATTCTGAAAGTACCGTTCAACTTTTCACCAAGACCCACTATATTTTATAGACAAAATATTTTCAGTTCTGTTCAACTCAGACAGCTTTACATCCAATTTTGAAACTTCTCATGTTTTGTTTTGTTTTTGAGACAGAGTCTCATTATGTCACCCTTGGTAAAGTGCAATGGCATCACCGCTCACAGCAGCCTCCAACTCTTGGGCTTAAGCGATTCTCTTGCCTCAGTCTCCCCAAGTAGCTGGGACTACAGGTGCCAGTCACAATGCCTAGCTGTTTTTTGGTTGTAGTTGTCATTGTTTGGCAGGCTGGGCCAGATTCAAACCCACCAGCTCAGGGGTATGTGGCTGGCGCCCTAGCTGCTGAGCTACAAGCGCCAAGCCTCATTATGATTTTCTTAGCAGAGGCAATTACAGTAAGCTAACTAGAAAACAGATAATTTAAATTTCCATATTGCTCATGATTAGAAAAGGAAAAACTACATAATTTTTTAAAATCCACACCTAAAGCAAGAAAGACTATTAAATTTCTCTCACTACAAACCTCATCTAAGAACATAAAATGACCTGTATTTCCATCAAATATTCTCTTTAACTTTATAGTCTTTTCACTTTTGCAATGACATATAGAGCTTGAAAATTTTTTTCCAACCTTGTGATTAGATTTTGAGCTTCCTAAAGAGGACTACGGGATTTCACTATCACAATCCTGGTACTACACCCAGCTCCATCTTCTACTAGCAATGTCCTTGAGCAAGGACATTATCCCAACATTGTCCTGCCCCAACTCTAGAAAACAGAGCTACCTGGGTGGCACCTGTGTCTCAAAGGAGAAGGGCGTGGGCCCCATATGCCAGAGGTGGTGGGTTCAAACCCTAACCCCTGCCAAAAAAAAAAGAGCTACTTTCTTCTTGAAGTTTTGGGGAAAGATTAAGTTGGGTCGGAAGTGCCTCTTAAATATCATTGTACAATGCTTAATACACATTTTTTTCCAAGTTTGATTGACTTATAAACATGGAAAGAGGCTCGGCGCCTGTGGCTCAAGTGGCTAAGGCGCCAGCCACATACACCTAAGATAGTGGGTTCAAATCCAGCCCGGGCCCATCAAAACGACGACGACAGCTGCAACCAAAAAATAGCCAGGCGGGCACCTGTGGTCCCAGCTACTTGGGAGGCTGAGGCAGGAGACTCACTTGAGCCCAGGAGTTGGAGATTGCTGTGAGCAGTGATGCCACAGCACTCTACCAAGGGGGATAGTTTGAGGCTCTGTCTCAAAAAAAAAAGAACATGGAAAGAAAAATAGCTAAACCAATTAGATTTTATTTGTATTAGATAATCAAAAACAAAAATAACATGAAATCAAAGCTAAAGATACCTTACAGGAAACTGAGGCCTGGAGAAGTTTATTGCCTACCCTAAGTTCTAGACCTGCACTGCCCAATGCAATAGCCACTAGCCATATATGGCTTACTGAGAACTTGACATAGTACTCATTTTAATAGATGTGCTATAAATAGACATGATGTAAAATACAGATTTCAAAGACTTAGCATGAAAACTATCAATTTTTAAAAGTAGATTACATATTATTTTGGAAATAATGCGCTAAAAATACTTTTATCTGTTTATAATTTAATGTGGCTAGAAAATTTGAAATTATATATGTGGCATTATATTTCTACTATACAGCACTATCTAGGTCACCAATTCTCAACCTGTGGGTCACAACCCACAGGAACTGTACTAAAGGGCTGTGGCATTAGGAAGGTTGAGAACCACTGGTCTAGATGTTAGCTGTGGAGAACCAGTACGCTTAGATGTGTAAATTTTTGATAAATGCTACAATGATCATATGTGCTAGGGGGTACATTTACCTATAAATGTAATAATTGATATTGCATTCATCTAAAAGGCTCATAGACATCAAACCGCAGTCCAATAATATGTCCATTATTTTAATGAATATTTATTGAATAGCAAATAAGTGTAAGGCACTGTGCTAGATGTGATGGCAGATACAATGAATTCAGGTGCATTTTTTTCTGACCTCCAAAGGCTTACAATCTAGTGAAGGAGACAAGTCACACATAGAAAAAAATGTATAACAGGGTGGATTTATATATAAAGACTGATAAGAGTTGTGTTTGAGTTTGTTTTTTTTTTAATGACAGATAATGGAGAAAGGGAAACTTTGAACTGATAGGATCTGAAAAGACCTGTGAAAAGACAGTTTGAGCAAACAGGACTCGTTTCTGCTTTCACTTAATTTTCAAAAGGCATACAGCGCCAGGCAAATGCTTCCACTTAATCTCATTCTCCCCACCCTACCAGCAAACTGGTAGAGGAATTTTGGTACTGGAATTTTGCAAGGTAATGTTGAATACCTGAATCTCAATATTTAGGTCTACTTAACTCTGATGACCCTGAATGTAAATGGCATTTCAACATGTCCAGGGCCATGACTTATGTGTGTAGGTGGGGAGGTGCGTGAGACAGAGGATAGATACGCTACCCTAGAAACCATTTTAGTTCCTCCCTCCCTCTCACATATGCCTCCTGTAACTTGGAGCTCTCCTCTTGACAGGATCAGCATTTTCAGAGTCCTCATCCCCATCCCACCTCAAATAATCATGGTTTATATTTACCTTTTTAGTATCCCTAATGTTATTTTTACAGTTTAATTTTACATTTCATAATACCTTCTTTTTCCCACAGTCCATCACTATGTATCAACTTCTGGATATATTGCCTGTTAAAGAGACCCTGACATATTTAAAACCCAGTTATTATTTTCACATTTACCCCTCTTATTTTTATGGCCATGAGGTAAAACCTCTGATCAGAAGGTAACTACAGCTTTGTGGAGCCAGCAGCTCAACTACAAATACTACCTGGGTAAAAGCTATGACCAAAAAATTCTGGG